CCCATATGACACACATCACTATAGAACCTCTCACCTGGTAGACATTTCCTTCCAGCACTGCTGTCATGGGTGTTAGCCGTTTGCTTTCCCATATGACACGCTTCACAGTCACCGCGCTCGAGGTCACCACCTCCAGGCCGTCCACCACCTTGTTGCGGACCATGGAGTCGACCAATGCGTCGCTGACGTGTCCAAGTCGTTGGTGCCAAATTCCTACGGGCTGCGCCTTCAGCGCACCTCCACTTGGCGGCACCACACGTATGAAAGGTCGGTACGTTGCACCGTCACCTCGCACTCCACCCAGGAACGGCTTGCCATCTCTGCTGATTGTCATCTTGCCTTCAGCGTGGGAAAATGCGAATCCTTCTCGCTCCAAGGTCACCGTGGACAGCAGCGTAGTGTCACATGCATCGGGTGCATAGAAGACATTCTTCCAATCCACTTCCCGCCACTGTTTCCCATCGACGGACACTTCAACGTCAATCGTGCCAATATGGGTGGCCTTGATGCTCTGATTGTTGCCAACCACGAACGATTTGGGAACATCTAGCTTAACTAGAGTTTTAAACCAGTTGCATTCATTCGTGATATGGTCACTTGCCCCACTATCGGCGATGATCACATCCTCACTTCCAGTCGCATGCATGGCTGATACCATCATGGATTCCTTTTTGTAACCGTGACCGGACTTGTCCTGTCGCCTGTTGGTGACTGTTTCCCCTTTTGGCTTCGACCAGCAATCGGCCTCCTTATGGCCCGCTTTGCCGCAGTTGTGGCAGCTTACGGTGAATTTCTTCTTCGCTCCAGTTGGTAGTCGCTTACCTTTTGCGTACAGCGACTCACCAGCTGGACTGGACTTGCTTCCTTCTCCCTGTCCCTTCATCATCTTTTCCGCTAGGAGCAACTTCTCCCGGAACTTGGACATCTCAGGATTAGGACCGGCCATCATGTTCCACGACGACACAAATGAGGCGTACTGTTTGGGCAAGCTGGCCAGCGTCTTACCGATCAACCAGGTGTCGGTAACCTTTTCCGGCTTCCCGCACGCGTCTATCTTCGCCGCTAGAACATACAATGATGCCATGAACGAATTTGCGTCGTCTACCTCCTTCCACTTGACTTCGAAAAATTCGGTCATCGCCGACATCAAGTCGTTGTCAGTCTTCGGCTCTTTCAGCTCCTGGATCCTCTTCAGAATCTCAGCGGACGTCTTGCAGTCCCGACACTGACTGAAGGTGGTATCATCCACGGTAGCACGCAAAATGCTTCTGGCTTTTCTATCGGCAGCTATCCACTTCAGGTGGTGCTCATGCGCCGCTTTATCCGTTGCCGAATCTAGGGGCATCGTCAGTGTCCCATTCACAACAGACCACAAGGACTCACCAGTCAACACATCCTCCACCTGTACCCGCCACCGCGAGTAATTGGAGTCGTTCAACTCGGTGACCTTAATACTCTTCAACTGCGCCATTGTAGTATCCACACAACAATGATAAAACAAACTAAACACTGCTTAGAGACAAGCAGGTCTCATAATCTGATACAATTAAGGTGGTTTTGGTAGTTTGCTTTAATGAAGAGTAATTCAAGTGTCGTTAACATTGTAATTGTAGCATCCTATATACTCAGTAAAACAGTCAGATTGACTAAACTTCTGAGTAACAACTTCGCCTTTAAGGCCGGTGTATGACAAAGGGGCTGGGTGCCAACATGAGTAACAGACATTAGTAACGGTTACACTCATTTATTCTAACAAAAACAGCAGAATAAACATTTTTTCAACTTTGCAAAGTGTGTGTGTAAGAACCATTTTACGTTGCTGGCGTCATCCCCTGGATTTCGCTGACACCGCAATCCGTTGCTCTGCGATTTTACTGTACATTTTAAATCTCGGTCAGACTGCCATGAGAGCTTTAGGCCATCGATTCTGTTCACTGTTCCTGTCGAAGTATGAACCAATAAATTTCCTGGGTGAAGCCACACCTCGTTTCCTGGTTACCCCGCTCAATAAACGCTCAATATCAAAATATTTTCAGGAAAACTGCTTAACAGCCAGGCATCAAGCAGTTTTCTTTAAATACAGTAGCATAGTACCATTTTGTATGCCCGAATTTTCGACACACCTTTTTGATTTGTTGTTTGCATAAAAATAATATAGAAAAATGCTCTGTGCAGGGTGGGATTAATTACTACTGCATCAAATTATATAGGGAGAAAAAGTAAACGCGTTTCACCGTTCCCCTGTATTGCTGCCGTCACCCGCCTGGAGTGTGACGTTACGGCAATACATATGGCTAAATCTGGCGCGGTACATAAGCGCCATGTTCAGGCACAACGTCACACTCCAATCGGATGACGGCAGCAAATACAGGGGAACGGTGGAACAAGTTACTTTTTCCCCCTATAGTATTGCCGTGATCATGTCTGCGCTTTCGTGTAAGAAAACAGCAAAGATGTTACTGTAGATAACAGAATCCTGAAATTCTTCCATTGTTTACACTATTGCGCGGACAGAAGCGGTCATTTAGCAACTAGTACGTATATACATGTATAATCTCTTACTATCCTTAAGCTTGAGAAAAAATAATATCTTTTGGCGAAGAAGTTTACCCTATTTCGAAAACAGTGTCAGTTGTACCCAAAACAGTACTTCTCGTGTCTTCACCTAGCGCAAGATGAAAACGTATTGCATATTATTATTTTATGTGCAGGACGCCGTCGTCTGCCTGTAATTGTTTTCTGCGAAGGTGTCCTCCGTTTTATTTTGATCGCCACTTTAACCTGCACTTGCAGTATGGTTGTAGCCCGGGCCAAAACGTTCCTTAATCACTTGAGTTAGTGGGTGTGTGCCGGTGGATGATTATTTACAGCAGCAGAATCTAACCTTTAGGAAGAATGCTCCGTAGTCATAGTACCAAACAAAGGCTACGCTGTCCAAGAGGTTTCCATTCACTGTCGGGTTTAGAGAGCAAATTACGGAAAGGCGGCAAGGAAATGCAGATAGGTCAAATCTGAAAATAAATACAGGGCCTAACTGACCACGAGCACTCCAAACATGAGTGACGTGGATTCTTGGCAAATGTGTCGTCACAATGTTGTACCTCTTTGACTGTGAGCTTCTACAGTACATAAAGCTGATGTGTAGAAACTAGAAACATTTCTAATCACAGCGAAGTCAGCAGGCTGTAAGCGTTGTGAACATTTACATAAACGACCGGATTGCACGAAAGCCATCGACAGAATGGCCGCTCTGCATATTAAGCAGGGTTTTATCTGGAAGGTCACTACCATTTGGGTGGCGTTACTGCAGATGTGCGGTTACCTTCCTATCATGGTGAACAAACGTTCGCTATGGTCAGTTTTCCTGCGCTGTGTAATGTACATTTATATAGCGCTTATTTTATCCGCTAATTGTTATATACTGTACGATGATTGGGCGTATTACGACGAACTGCCACAGTCATCCAACTGGTTCACCGCGATCTTAATCCAGATGATGGACGCGTCAGAGCGGATTGCCGATCTGTTATGTATGCTCTTCATGTGGTCCTGCAACCAACGCTTTTTGGAACTGATTGGTAACTTGGACCGAATGCACGGCTCAGTGCTGACGCAAAAAGAAATTCGTATCAGCATTGCCGGAACAGTAGTCTATATCGCTTCCGCGGTGTTTAAAAACGCTTATTGGTTTATCGTGGAGCAATGGAATCCACAAGATTACACGGACGAAAGGAAAATCGCTGTTATTCTCAATATTCCGATCCCTAACATTGTAGTGGAATGGTCTGCTCGTGTTATTTTTACCGTTTTCGGTATTACCTTGCACGTATTACCTTGCACGGTATTACCTTTCGGAACGGGGAAAGCTTCAAGTCAAAATATTGCACCCTCACCGCAGTAGAAGCAACTTACGTCAATGCCAAATCTAATTTTTCACGTGAAGTATCATTTTCATCATCTCAGTTGTCGGGAAAATTTCCCGCACTACTGCTCTCCGTCTCCACAAACGGGGAAAGCTTCAAGTCAAAATATTGTACCCTCACCGCAGTAGAAGCATTTTTACGTCAGTGCCAAATCTAATTTTTCACGTGAAGTATCATTTTCATCATCTCAGTTGTCGGGAAAATTTCCCGCACTACTGCTCTCCGTCTCCACAAACAGCTGTTCCACAACGAGTTTGTAACTTTGGAAGAGCATATTTGTCAATCAAAGTTAACTAGCGTCGTCGGAGAACTGGACAAGTGCTTGCGCTTGGTTACCGGTGTCCGCTGCTATATGGGACAAACCGACCCCATTTGGCCCTTTCCTCGGATGTAATACTCATAAATGAAGCAATACTCGCGTTTCGAATGTTGGCATCGTGCACGTTTTTTAACTTTATAATTTCTAGATTCTGTGACCAGTCTGTCGGTTTGTGTTGTGCAATGCACTCGTGTTACATACCTCTTCCCTTTTCTAATTTTATGCGGTCGGATGTCGCATGCTTGTGTTTATGCCGGTCCTTTCTCATAGTCGGAACGTTTTCCCAAGTTGATTTTGTTGATACTGTCTCTGTAAGCATGGCTCTGGAATGTTTTAAATGCTGTGTACCTGTACTGACTGCAAGGCGTAACCGTACTGTGTTGCGACACAATTTCAAGTGTCCTGTTCTAGTTCCAATGGAAGAACATATCCTTCTTCTTGCAGAGCCAGCGATTACTAAGTGTTACGGAACGGGGAAGCTTCAAGTCAAAATATTGTACCCTCACCGCAGTAGAAGCATTTTTACGTCAGTGCCAAATCTAATTTTTCACGTGAAGTATTTTTGGATCACAGCGGAAATCTACCGACGTTAAATCTATCGCAGCGGAAAGAAGTTCCTACGGTCGGTTGCGAATCGACCGCATGGTCAGCAAAATCCATGAATAAAATATCAAATGTGTTCGAAATTCTCAGCTTTAAATATCATTCAGTTAAAACAGATCAGGAAACATTTTAATTAGAAAAGTGCTGTACAAAAACAAACTACGACGTACGGCTGGTTAGCGGCAAAACACAAACTAAACTAGTGAGCGGTACTCGCGATAAACATCAGAAAGATACCGAGTCAAATGCGCACTGTTAAGAACAGAATAATGTTAAAAAAGCAAAGCAACATTTCGCTCCAGGAAAACTTAGGCAGGCCATGAGAATACCTAATAACTGCTTTAAAATGCAAAGAATGGGTAATTACTATTTTCTAGTAATCGAAAAATACAAGTATCAATAGTACCGCTAAAGTCAACGAAAACGCGATAGCTTAGTGCATTTAGTTAAGTCATTGCATTTTCAACTTTTTCCTCTGGCTGTACTCCGCTGCACGCTCCTCACCGCGCTTGGTTTCGATCATTAGCCGATTCAGCGCAATAACAGTTAATTTGTTGAGCTGGGACACATCCAGACTGCTCAGTTCATCTTGTGTCCAAAAGAACTGCCGCTGCTCGTTCCCAGATTGTAAATCCAGCAAAATCAACAAGAGCGGGGTTACCGTAACGGACAAACATCTAGGGCAATCAACGCTCTCGTTTGTAAAAATAAAAAGGAAAACTAGTCAACCTATCGTCTGACAGAATTGTCGAGATTGTAGAAAAACGTAGTGGGAATTTTAACGCTGACTCACGCACCTCTATAATATGCAAACATTTGGATTCGTGATCCTCATGCTGAGCTGATTCCCGTATCCACTCTTTCAGGGCCGCCAGATTGACTGGCACAGCCGGTAAATTTTCCTCCAGCAGATCGCGTAACCCCTTTCGCTGATTGTCTGGTTTCAAACCAAGGACGCCAGAGAACGGTATTCGGTCTTCCCACATATATGGGAAGGGTGGTGAAAATTTACAGTCCCTCCAGATGATCCGATCAATCGCAAAAGCAGCATTGACACAAGGCTCGGCGATATTCGATATCTCCCACCCGAAATCCCGCGCCATATTCCAGACGAACCGATCGACCACCACCAGCAGCTTGTGTCCCGCCGTGTGCGGCAACGAGTCCCAGATGGCGCGGATGAAACGCAAGCAGTCTCCCAGCGCGATTTCATCGTCGCATTGGTAGGCGTTGGCTATGGTGATCTGTTGGGTCGCCGCGGTAAAGCATTTCCAGAGAGTTGCGCCAATCACGGCCGGTGTCTGCTTGGCAGTTGGCCTTGCTCCACAAACCGCATAAGATACCCAAATATCCCGCGAAGCTCTCTTCTGACTGAGTGCCTCATTCCAGAGCGAGCATACACGTCGGTATAGTACGCGGTCGACGCTGTCCAGAAATTCGAAAACGCCTTCGAGAATCTCCACGGGTAACGTATCCAGGGATTCTTGATCAGTCGGATCTTGTTCTGTCTCCACATCCTCCAGCTCTTCGTCGGAGTAGTCATCCGGTGGAAACCAACTTAGGCCGAAGAACGTCCAGCCTTCAGAAAGGCGCCGTTTGATATCCAATTCCGCGTCTTGTAATAAATGCACCTAATATTGGAAGGCTGAAATGAATCTTTATGACATGGCTAATTTGATCCTCATAAAAAAATTATGCGCTTAACCCACCAAAGTCAGCTACCTGAAGGAGTGCGAATAGCGATTTGAAAATTGGTGTTTCGTAACGAAATAATTTGATTAAGGAAAATTAATTTTTTGGGAATTTTCGTGACCATAGGTCAAGCACGGCGATAGCCTGCCAAACTGACAGGGATGGGCATCCTGTCATTTGGCAGGTAACACGGCGAAATTTCTAGAAAATTACAGAAAGATGGCACTGCGGAGAACAACCACTTAAACGAAAGGTTTAGAAAATTCCTACAGTTCTCAAACTTTAGAATGGTCATCAAGATGACCAGTGGTCAGCAATACCAAAAAATGTTAATAAATGCATTTCTGAGCGGCAACTTGTTAAAAAAGATACGATGTGCACTTTGCTTAAATAAAGAAACGTACAAAATTATCCTGAGTCAGACAAGAGCGGCAATTTGCATCGTTTCCAGTGAATGTACGGTGTTTGTCTCCGAAGCCCGTGCTTAACTGCGTGTTAAGAACAGTGTTGCCCCCCTTCGGTGTTCCCGCTTCCGTTTATTCGTGGACTTTTTGTGGACTTATCAGTGCGTAAATGGTACACTACTAACACTCTAAGCAGCCTACAGTCTGTATAAGCAGTCTTTGAGCCGAACACCCAAGCGACAACCCGCACAGTACTACCATGGCAAAATATACACTACGTGATAGCAATGAAATTCTCTCTCTGTACTCTTTCAACCTGCAACCGATGTACGCTTCAATCCTTAACGAAGTAGGTAAACATCGCTGCCCTCCGTCCGTTTCACTGTGTGCAACTGTGAACGGCCGATGCGCAGCACTAGCGCTGACCAGGGAAGTTTTGACGTAGCGGCAATGGGCATCGAGCAGTCGCGCAGGTGCACGCGGCTGGCTGAGCATATGTGCAGAAACGGACGGAAGACAGCTTTGTTTGCTCTTCCAATTACGACTGGCGGTCATCATTTTCAGGCGGTTGATTAAACAGCGCTGCTACCACGTAGTGTAGTGTTATGCCTTGGTACTACCAACAGTGTGCGGTTTACGGCGCACTGGTACTTTATAATTTATTTCCACCTGGTCATTTCCGCTAGAGCTCGGCAACTCTCTAAGGTGACACAGCGGCTGAACGCAGCAACCATATGCAATTTGTGAGAAGCTGTATAACTACGTTTTACATAAATCACGTTCACAATAATTCAAATGGTACCGTTCCGCCATATGCCGGACAGGCCCGGACTAGATATAATAAGTATATCATTGTTTTCAGAATGTACATTAGGGATAAGTCTCCAAAATTTCGTTGCCGAAATACGAAAACACTTATCTCTCAGTAATTAACGTTCGTTTTTACAGTTTACACTTTATTATTGTATAATTGTACAAGTTTTATCATACAAAAAAGTGAATTTTCCAGCATTTTTTTGATTTGCTGACCACTGGTCATCTGAATGACCATCAGAACACTAAAGTTGGAACTACTCTTTTTTCTTGATTTATTGAATCTAAGCTTGGTTTTTCATTATGTTTCTAAGATTTGATATGGAATTTATGAGATTTATTGTTAAAGTTGCACCATGCCCATCCCTGTCAAACGTGGCAGGAAATTTTCGAATGACCATCTTTGTCCACTGTCCAGCTATTTTTTGGGCCATGCAATGCTTTTGCAATGTGTGCCACAGGGTGGGTTTCAGTGAATTATATGTGAATTATCGGGTGCTGGGGAGGCCGTATGTACAGCCAAGACCTCCGCGAACCCCAAAGGTGTCATTTTGGTATTCTTTGGTCACTTGCTGTGTGGCCACAAAAATGTTGAATTCGATGGCCAAATTTTAAAATGACCAGAAACATTCCTACTCTAGAATAGAATCACTAATAACGAGTTTACTGCATTGTGGGCCGCTACAGGAATTAAGTCCGCCACCCTGCCATTTGACAGGGATGGTCGGGAACGGGTTAACGCTTAATTTATGCCCTTTAAATTTTCGTGGCCCGTATACTTTCCGGCAGAGCTTCCCGGAGGCCCAACAGAATGGCGGTCTGTTTTGCTACGGTGCGCTGGGCACGTCCAGTGTTTGATTGGGACTATGTAAGTTTTATTTAATTTGTCAACACTTTCAAGTTTTAAACCTCATGAAATCAACACGAATGGGTTTCGAAAATTAGTTTCTTATCGACACACAAGGAACTTATCGGATTCCAAACTGGATATGCAAGAGCAATGTTTTACCTACATTTCCAGTGGAAACAATATTTTTCGCTGCAGCTTGTTCTGCAGCAAAAAACTGCGACTAAACCACTAAACAAAATAAAAAAAAGGACATTTATTCCGGAAAGTCACACATTTCGCGGACTGAATTACGAGTACCTTTGCAGTTTATACATCACGTCAACGATCTTTTCTTTGGCTATTAAAACAGAATCCCTGCTCTAAATAAGCAACTGAAAAAAATGTAGTAATTATTACGGGAAAGAAATGTCCCGAGAATTCGGATTTTGCGAGCTGGGCCTGAATTAATACTGACATGTTTGCGTTTGGCATCCATGTAACCAGCACAGTTAGTTTTGAAAAAATGTCCTATTGTTTCTAAAAGCTTATAAAATTGTTTATCGATCTAGCACAAACAATTTACGATGCGACCAGAAATTCTCGAGATACAAGCTAGACGAAACCACCGTTTTTTGGACCATCTGTTACAGTAACTGTAATGCTAAGCAAATCTGAAACAACACTTCAACGATAATAAAAAAATAAGACAAAATGGAGAAAAAGCCAAAATAATGACAAGAAATGAGAATTTTTTGCGCAGATGGTTTCAATTTTATTTTAAGAAGAAAATGGTAAAATTCATGGAAATAAGCTATTTGGATTTGCAAACTGCGGCAGAACCGAGTGCAGTACAGATTCAGATAAATTAGTGGAAACGAGAATTTTTTTTCAAGTGTAAATAATTGGCTTCTTCAGTTCTCCACTCACCCAACCATCCTGCTTTAGGATTCCGTAATCCGACTTCGTCAAATATAGCAGCGCATCACCAAGCAGACAGACTGGAAACACATGCCATGACGGTGATTTCTCCTGTAGAACACTCAGTAAAGCAGTTGTTGCGGGATCTTCGTTGGCGTTCCAGTATTCCTCCGGCAACGCGAAGGATCGCAAAGAAAACTGACCTGCCCGAATACATCGCTCCTGCAAGTTCCCTGGTGACGGCACGGTGCGGACTGGATGGACCTGAAGGAACTCCTGGAAGACCGTCGAACCACACTGCACCGTAATGCCCACGTAGCTGTCATGGAAGAGATGGCGAACGGCGAATTTCGCTGGGTACCACGTCCATGGTTCGTCGTGAGAGGTTCGCGCTAACACTTGGATCTGGGATGTACCACGCTTGCGTAATAACTTTTTCAGCTCCTCAATAGTATCCAAATCAGCTTCGACGTCCCTCTCGTAGGTTTCACCCGCTGAATTAAGGCATTCGAAAACCTTGTCGTACTCTATAAGCTGCGAACGCCGTCCACGGCAGCCGAAATCCACAATGAGCCCGTTATCCACAACATTGATGATTTTGCCATGCTGCAGGAGACCAGCGGGTCCCTGGACGTCCACGCTGTTCCATTCATAAACTCCCGAGGTCTTGAAGAGTAAAGGCATTTTACACCGCAGAAAATTTCCCACAAAACCAGCTAAATCAACCAAAGACTATGAGTACTTTTATTTCGCTCTACTGGCCTGCACTCAGCAAATTATAGCATCAGCCACATTCACGAGCTAGCAAACAGAATTAATTCTATTCAGTCAAATGGTTTTTGAAGATTATAAAGCCAGCCAAGCCAAGGCAAACCATTTGAAGTTTGAACACTAGGTTGTAAATTTGGTTGGCAAATGACAGCCGAATACGAGACTTCTCTGCCGCAGTGTCAATGTGCGTTCGATTGCAGCAGGCAAAGTTTAGAAGAGTGTTGCTAGTTGCTACGCAACTTGAGTCGGCACTCACCGTAATTCGATGAAATTCAGATGGCTTTCAGGATGCGCTGTTGAGTGTTGACCGCCAAAACTGTCTTTTCGTTTTCTTGCACATGCTTTGTGCGTATGATTATGATTACGCTGGTCTTTGTTTATAGCCAGATACAAGTCGAACATGGAAGGCCACGATCAGACCTCGCTCAGGAAAGTTTTTACGCCAAAAAGGTGGTATCCAGATTCAGCGTCGAAATACAGTTTCAGTTCTAGTTTCAGTTTCAGTTTCAGTTCGGTACATTTTGCGACATGGTAGAGAAGGAGAAAGTGTACTTTGCCTTTCAGTTAGCTGAACGGAAATGCAAAATTAATGAAGAATTTGTATTAACTGAACTCTTGCTTTACATTGTTCAATACGCAATGATCACCATTTAAATTCCCATAATGCGAAAACAAAACGATGGGATACTAATCATAGAATTGCTATTTATTATGTCACTTTGCTGTACTTTCTTGCAACAGAGCAGCCGAGTAAACAGCTACGACAGTAAAACCATACCGGATGTACATGCGAAACCCGTTAGCAGATTAAATTCTATATACTTGAACCGACAGAACCTAAATAATTAATTACATCATCATTATTACATATATATGTTCATCAATACGTGTAGCAATGTACAAGCCGAGTGATTACTTTCTTGCGTAGAGGTGTAGGCTGCAGATTGGCGCTTAAGTAGAAAGCAGCCACCCACTACAACTATCGCGCAGTTAATGTTTATGAATTAATATGAATGAATTATTACTTTACAAAAAAGTTCATTTAATAAATTCTTCGATTTTACGATAAATATGTTTATACGATGTAAATATTTGACTTGCACGTATCGCGAAAACAACGTGACCGGCCGTGATTTGGAGTTTGGCGTAACACATAATTCTGTTCCTTTACAGAAGAAATAATCGCACGGTATACATACAATTGATACAAATGATAAAATGCAACGATAATCGGAAACTTCAGGCATACAGATACAGTGGAGAACGTACTGTACTTTAAATTTTTAAGTTTTTACTAGGCAGTCTGATATCTTTCAATTCAGAGTTAAAGGGCCGTCATACTTGATGCCCGCAGTGGAATTCCTCAGTTTTTCCTGTTACTAGCTGATCCTGAAATTCTGACAGTGCAACAGTGGCTGCAGGCTGTACTTGCAGGACGTCTTGGTTGCATGTCGGTAAACCGGAAAAGCCAAAGCAGCTGGTTTGCCGGTGTGGTCAGAAACCATTAAATCACCTCATAGACGGCCATAACTCTGGACCGTGCAGCGTATTTGTAACGTAACCACGGCATCCAATTATTTTACGGTACTGGTATACTGAGTCACAAGAAAAGTTACTTTCCTAACTTTTTTAATATCGGTGTTCTCTTACGTCAGTGGTGTCTTTTAAAAACAACAGCTACGACGCAAGTTTAATAATCATTTATTTTTTTACGTCAGTTGTGCGCTAGCATCTTTTTCATGGCCAGTTCGTACTGGTTATTTTTCTATGACTGTTATTTTTTAAACAAAAGTTATTTTTCTATGACTGTTTTCGCAAATCTTGTAAACACCAATTAGTAATGAAACTTCACTGCTCCATGGTTGATCAAGCAGGCTCTTACTCTTAGATGCTGGAATCCTATTTGGAAGGAAGTAAGCACCTTAGCTGATTTCTTCCCGGTGGTCAGCGGATCTGTAATGCCAATTAACATTGCATATCCTGTGCTTAAAAATGATTATTACATACAAACCTGGGTTGTATTGATCGCGCCTAAATCCAGTTCTGCGTTTTTCGAGCTCCGAGCCAACTCCGCGAAAACTAATAATGCGCTGACCAAAGCTGCCCAAGCCTGTTGTAATCAATAGAGGTTAATTCGTTCAGGTATTTTGCATTACTTCACGTGAAAGTAAAAGTCGTAGTAGTAAAAGTCACGTATACAGTACTTTCGGTAGCGCTTCTGTTTACAATGAATTCTCTGTAGAAGTAGCCGAATAAAATTGTTCTGTTATGACTATGTTAAAGTTCGGCTACATAGCACTCGCTACAAACACCGTGAACTAAAAAACCTGCTGCAGGTCAATAGGACGTCCCAACTTTAAGCGGCTGTTAAAGGTAGTGGCCCGGTACATGGTACCAAATTCGTGTACATTCACGAAATCTTTCACTTTCGCGCACTCCCAAACCCTTTTTTCTTTTGTTTTATGACATTCTGTAGTCAAATGATTTGTATACACAGGCCTTAAAACCGTTTGCGCGCGCAACATCCGGTTCGGGAGTTATGGCTGTAAGAAAATTCCCAAAAGTTTAAATGCTTTCAGGTGTACCAAAAGTCTCATTATGGACCGATCTCCTTCAAATTTTGCATGTGAATGCATACGGCCACGAAGATCGTTTTTACACCGATCCAGACTTCCACGATTTTTTTCAAATTTTAAAATGAATTTTAAAATTTTTGAAATTCATTTTAAAATTTGAAAAACATGCTAGAACAGTGGATCGGTGTAAAAACGTTCTTCGTGGATATGTGCATTTACGTGCAAAATCTGAAAGAGATCGGTCCATAATGAGACTTTTGGTACACCTGAATGATTATAAACTTTTTGGAATTTTCTAACAGCCATAACTCGCGAACCGGATGTTGCGCGCGCAAACGGTTTTCAGGCCTGTGTATACAAATCATTTACTACAGATTGTCATAAAACAAGGGAAAAAAGGGTTTGGGAGTGCGCGAAAGTGAATGATTTCGTGCATGTACACGAATTTGGTACCATGTACCGGGCCACTTCCCTTAACGGATATTGTCGAGTACCGTGTACCTGCATGGCACTTTCGCGTGTGATGACAACGCCGGCCAATGTAAAGCAACCTGGACCGTTCGTCTTGCTGCGAACAAACACCGCATTCCATTCATCCCTCTTCCAGTTTTTTTCTCCGATGCTCAGACATATATCGGCAACCTCCCGCAATCTTTGACCCTTGTTGCACCGATAAAGGATATTTAAAAATGATATTAATTTCTATTCGAAGGCGAGCATCACTCAAAGAACAAGCTGTGCAGCAGATAGATACGCAATAACTATTACATCTGATTATTGCAGTTTTTGTGGAAGTACCAAGATACATAACCATTATAATGTACATTCCTGCTGATTAATGATTACCTGTTCGGTGGAATAGATGCAGACAGCCGTTATCAGGCAAAACGAGAACATATACTTGACCAATGTTATAATCGCATCAACGGGAGGCTGCTGATCAGCAGTGTACTGACCGCATGCGAAGGTGACACTGATTGTACCGGTTAACGCGGAAAAACTCAGAATGCCCAGCAACACCGAGAAGTAGCTGTTTAAACCCTTAACGATCTGGATCAGTTGAAGCTGATGGTTGTAATCATCCAAGCTGACAGTTCCTGTCGCCAGCAGCTGCGTGTTGAAGTTCAACGCAGTTGCACGCACCGTTTCACTGGTAAAAAGCATAACCGTCAGCATCCAACCCAATAAAATTTCTCGACCAATAACCGCGATACCGAGACCAGCCGAATACAAGCGAGCAAGAGCTTGCACAGAAGATGTCGGCAGATGCGAGAAATACAGACGCTGAAGGTCATTTCCGTTAAGAAGTATGGCAGCGTCAGATTGTTCGGTTTTTGTGCGATAAACGTTTCTTGCAATAGTTAGGAAGACATAAAAGACTATACCGACAATAATTGCATAAGCTCGTCTTCTGTTTACGGAGGCGAACGAAAATTGATCCAACATTTTTAACAAATCTAGAAATTTTCTGCTGGATAACCACACGAGAATCAAGCACAAAAAGGAGATGACACTATTCGAGGCGTTGATCACTTGCATGACTACGGAGGTGAACCAGTTCGACAAGTTTGACGAAAAGAACGTGGTACTTTCGTACAAGAAGAATGAATTAATGATTATTAGAAGCGCGCAGTAAAAACACATAAAACACCGTAACAACCCAGCCGGAATAGTGCGGCATTCTAGCGGGAAGAAAGCATAGCCACAGATCTGCAGTAATATAATCCAAATCATGACGCTCTTCCACATTAAACCATGGTGCACACTTTTCCCGTGAATGCTTTTAGTTGGTGATTCATGTTGTAAATCCCATTTCTTGTTTAAGGAAGCCATTTTACCGGCACTTCTCCGAAAGGCCAATATTTTTGGAAGAACTGCGGAATGACATGTGTTTAGCCAGTTTAGGCATTGTCATGCCACTTGCTAAACGGGCTATGAAATTGATACCTGATCGACACTCGACAGCACGACTATTTTACTTGTCAAAATGCATGATGATGTGTGCCAACTGGCGAGCATCATCTCTGTATGTACAGTCGTTTGGTAAAATAAGAATGCAACGTGCCCCCAGGTTTTTTCTCTCGAATACTGCTAGCACCTTTTCTGGAATTAGCACATCACACAAGGGAAAGCAATTGCGCAGACACTTACAAGCCACGAAGGCGCTCAAATTCAGTTAGGGCGAGGTAATTGTTTTGCCTTCATTTTCAGAGGAGTTACAATAGCTACAGTTTCCCAGATAGAAAAAAATGCTCTTTAAAATGGATGTTTTTTCGAAAGTCGAAGATCCAAATAAAAGCACAACTGTGTAAAAGATCAAAAGGTACCGTGGGTCTAAAACGACGCTCGGGTCCAGCAGTACGTTCCATTCACTTAACTGCCAACTCCTCTCAAACCGAACCGCAAACAACCGCACGCGGGCTGCGTGTCTGCGTTGCGCTGCTACCGCGCGCAGACTGCGATTTGATGAACGCTATATGCAGCCTGCAGGTAGCGTGGTGGTATGTTTACTTTTCTGCGCCGATGCAGAGGACCATTTTCGAAAAACAAAAACCCATATTTACTAGAATTAAAGTTTGGACAGTTCTACGCGCCTTATAATCCATTGCCGCAATGGAATTGGCTGTTCTTGGTACCGTTGGAAAGACAAAATTATTTTACATACTAAGTTTTTTTGGTTTTGGAATTCAGCCATTCATTCGAATTCCAACGATCAGTGGTTTTCTCAGTTAGGGGAATTAGTTTCATGTTTAAAAATTTATATCTTTACTGTTTTTTACACAAGATTTTTTCAAAATAAATCCAATATGTAAAAAAATTATACGTTATATTTAGAAACAGCAAACTTGAAGTTGCCCCATTGGGTGCTTCAGCGCAGTTTTTTTGGGGCAACTACAACATAAAATTCTATATCCCGTTTGCACTTTTAGGCTTCATTTTAAAAACTTATATGTTAAAAAGTGCAATTTATAAGGTTTCTAATGAATCTTTGCACTTCGAAAACAGACCAACCAAAGGCGCACAACAAATTCTCAAAGTTGTCAATAAAATTGGCATGCTGCAAACAATTACATCCAGTTAAATACGCAATGTTTTGTGATTCAGGCAGCTGATGAGTTTAAATTGCAAAAATCATCATTGGGTAAATTATCAATGGTTTTTCTGTGGTGCTTTCGTATTAGGTTTCCGTCACTGAAAGAGACCGAGGAGGTGTGGAACTGCGAGTATATAAACTCGTACATTATCTGCGGGTACTGGCAATGCTGTTCAACATCAATATGTCGCCCACGGTTGTATGACCTACTATCCTAATTTCAACTACGCAAAGCTGCCATTTTTGGAAGCAAAACTTTAATGTAGATACGAAAAGATGAAAATATTCCGGTTCATTACGGGTGTTAGAAAATATATTACCAATATAATATACACTCATAATGTGTCATCTACTTGTGAACTATGACCATTGTCCTACTAACTGATCTATGAGTGTACGGTGCACCCAGGTCACCAATCCCCTTGTTTATCAGATGTTTAGGTGCAGTAACTTACTAATATCGTGAATGTACCTAGTGCTATATAAGAAACCTGCTTGTATAACGTTGATGAACAGAACAACACCAGTGTGTGCGATGCTTCCGGTTTCTGTTCCCGTGACTATAATAATCTCATAATATAAATTCTAACAACGGGATAAGCGCCAGATTATCGTTCTGCAACAATTATTTGTGTCAGTGTCATAATTAATCAGCTGTCATTATGTGACAACTCACAATCCCATTTAACCAGTGATCTCATCAGCGCGGCATTCGGTAATCCCCTAAACCCTGCTTTTGTGGTAAATGCGGCCGAAGAACGAGGATCTGTGCTGTGGAGTCTTGCTGACTTCTGGAACCCTCACTGCGCGTTGGATCGCTTCATTTCACTGTGTCATTTTCGCGCACTGTGTCATTTTCGCAACCCAAGTTAGCTGTCACAAGATAATTTCCATTGAACAGTTAGCTGAAAACCTTTACAGAAACGACACTGATGGTGCCTATTGGCCTCTCCGAGCTCACATCTGCCCTAGTTCCAGCTCATACAGTTCCGTTTGAGTTTCCACCATCAAACTATTCAGAGCGCTCAACGTCAGTGTGGTCAGCGTCGACACATCTGGATCTCCTTTCCAGCTGAATTGTATTTCTGGTTGATCATGATCTTCAGGAATTCGGGGATCAGGGTATTGTAAGTCGTTTAAGATCTGAAAAAAGTCTCGTTTCTGTATTAAAAGTACGCATTTGAGCATGGACAAAACGCCACACAACAAAACTTCAGAGGAAATGAATCCTATACCATCCGGATAGAACTGTTCAGATACAGCCCACGATCAATAGGCAAAAGTCTTATTAAGCTTTTACTGCAGTACGTCCTTTAAACCCTGTAATAAATGTTATGTGAACTTTTGGTAATCTGGAGTAATTAAATCTTTAACATCCACATAAGAAACTGCGAAACCGGGCCGAAAATGTGTTCCGAAACGGCACTGTTTAAATCCTGTGAAGAATAACCGGCGCACGGACGCCTAGAGTTACTTACTCACGGAAATTCGACATTTTAACTGCTGACGATACTTTAAAATAAGCAGCAATCATGGTTGTTAACGGCGGTAATTCCAGAAAAAAAGGTAATTCCCGAAAAAAACTTCATTACGAAATCATCCTCCACACAGACAAAGGTTGTGTCGCATGGTAGTGTACGGGGTCAATGCCCCGGGTCATAAATATTGCTCGAAAAGATAGTGTACCTAATACAAGATAGCGCGAAAAGGTAGTGCACAGGTAGTGAAATGAAGTGTACGGAGCGGTCACAATTACCTTTTTGACACGCTGCCAGACGAAATAAGATCCTGCTGCCTCCGGAAGCCACAAACCAAGAACATCTGAATCGACAGCCGAAGTCGCTACACTTGCTTCCAGCATGCTCCAACAATCACACAGCAGACTGGAAGATTTTAAATTGAGCACACCAGAGAAGCATTTTTCATTCAGATCATATGGGTAGGATGCTGAAAATTCACAGTTTGTCCATAACAAAAGATCGATCGCATTTGCAGCATCAGCACAAACGGATGTGATAATCACAATCTCCTCGGCAAATGTCGCTACCACATTCCACACGAACTTATTGACAATCACTACCAAGGGCATCTCCGACTCTGGTAACACGCCTTCCTTTAAAGCACGGATCCATCGTACACAATCGGGTAAATTGGTGTGAGAAGCATTCGTTATGACGATGCGCTCTGTGGCTGCCGTCATGCATTTGCACAAACATCGACCGACCATTAGATTTGCTTTCTTTATTGCACTGTTCTTGCCACCAGCAGCAAACGATACCCGAATTTCTTCGAAGTGCCCGTCCTTATTTATCAAAGAATCCCACAAAGAACATACACGACGGTACTGCAAGCGGGGAACGGTGTCCAAAAGCTGGAGGACAAGTTCGAGAATTTTTGACGGCAGCAGCTGAATTTCGGTTGGATCCTGTGCTGTCGCGGGATCTTGAATTGCTTCTTCCATAGCCTCTGTCAGTGGCATCCAATGAGTGCCACAAAACGTCAACCCATCCGAAATGCGACTTTTCAAATTTTCCCTAGCATTTGTCAAACTCCGTACCTACAATGACGATTCAAGAATTACATGGATAGTAAAATGCATGGTTTTCCACAGGTCTTGCGCAAAGAAACGCTTCTCTGTAGGAAATCTGCGTAGAGTCTAGTTCTACTAACATTTATTTATGCTTATTGAAAGTGATCCAGTTGCGTGTCGTTATGTATGTATGTACAGTAGTTAGACTTTGCTGTAAATATTTTCCTGAAGCAATTTAGTTCTTTTCAAATTCATTCTGCCGAGCTAAAAGCTACTCTTTCTGTTTTCTTCATTAGCGGAAAGGCATAACTAAGTGGACAAA